TCTTTTATAATTCTAAATAGATTAGAACTGAGCCTTAATTTGGTTGAGTTTTAGTGTGAATGGCTGAATGTGTGAAGGTGATGATGTGAAATGTCAATTCATGTGTTTTTTCACACAACAATAATGATCTTAAACATGAGTTGCACAAAAGTTTCTTTGCTCTTTTTCTAACACTTGAGGATGAGATGAGCATATTCTGTATTGCATGAAGGGAAAATCACAAAAGCTTATCTGCAATGTCTTTTTTTGTGTGGATATCATCTAGATTTTCTAACATATACCAAATGATTGCCTCATTTAAATATTTGTATTGCTTGAATCAGCATGTATTTAAATATACAAGTAGAAAGATAGTCCAAAGGTTGTTTTTTAAGTTGAATCATTGTAAGAGTGACATCAAATGTCACTCTTACATTCATTCTTAGTTGCTCCCCTCGTCCTTCAATAAGGTGCAACGGTTATTAAGAAAGTTAAACTGTGTGGTTGGATTTATGTAGAAGAGAGAAATAGTATGTACTACATAACTACACTATTCGTTCTTTGGAAGGAAAATGGAAGTTTTTCCCTAGATGAAAAAACAAAAGGAAATATGATTTTTTTTGGGAAATAAAAACTGATTTTTTTGCCCCAGTTTTTTAAAGGGCCATGGTTGCATACTACTTGACCTCAACCTCCAACAGAGTTGGGAGTATATTGGGTTTTTTTGGTCTTGTTGCTGTTGTTAGATGAAGTAATAATTAAGAGTTAGATGTTTTCAACATATATTTGGAACATTTCACAAATAGTGTGTGAACACTAATATGAAAAAAATAGATATTTGTTTATGTTAAAATATTCAAGGGACAATTATAAGTATTTTTTTTGAAGCACATAGCATACAGTGAATTCGGACATTTAAATTACATTGTCATCAAATTAGCACTTATAGCCAGTTTGAATCCCACTTTATTCCAAGCAAAGTACTAGCTTTGCTCTGTAGCTGAGTACTGACTGTCGCATGGGCTGAAAGCAGGAAATTCAACCACTTTGACATGCATTGTGTAAATACTCCCTCCCTCCCAAATTTGATTAAAAGTTGGGATTTACGAGGCAAAATCTCCCATCTTTTGAAATCATTTTATTTACAAATTGGTATATCGATAAAAAGTAAAAATTACATATTAAAAAACTACATAAAAAATTCTACAAAAAAAGAGGTGTCAAGAATATTTTATTTTATCAAATAATCATTAAAAACACACAAATAAACAAAAGTTATTGAGAGGAGAGAAAAATTGTAATCAAAATTGGGACGGAGGGAGTACATATTTGTGCATGTTTCTTTGTGAAAGCCTTTGCATAGTCTTAATAGGCAATTATCAAGAAATATCACTTCCGATGAATCGACTTAATATAATCAATCTGGGAATCTCATACTGTGTAAATGTGTTATTTGGTTGATGAATCCTTGCATTCTTTTGGTGTGGGTCAATATTTGTTTGTTTTTTTCAAGTTATCTACCAGCTCACCTTATGTGTTTTTATCTTTTTGCTAGTTAAGTTGTTTAGATTGTGCTTCTCCCAGCCCATCCATCCACTCCTATTGTAGTATTTTCTTAACCCGTACCTGATATCAAGGAAGTCTTTTTATTGGAGTGCTGAAGATGGCAGAGGTAAAAATATAAATTTAGTTTGGTTGGATTTATTTTAGATATTCTATGTGAAGCATCTAAATTTTGGATTGTGGCAGGACGGACACAAGGTCTCATTACACGTGTATGACTTGAGCCAGGGACTGGCTCGTCAGATGTCTGCTGCCTTCCTGGGAAAAACGATTGAAGGCATATGGTGAGTTTCACATTATAAGGGCATACATTGAACGTACCCCCTATATACCATAACAAACTTTACATTTTGAGTTCATAGGGTTTAGATAAGTGTTGAAAAGTTAAAATTGTGTGGGTGGAAGTTGTTTAAAAGGGAGAAATTTAATGAGCCATATATTCCTTTCCTAAAAAAGAAATGTGAGAAGCGTAAATTTTATTTTGAGACAGACGAAAAGGAAAGTGTAATCTTCATTGCTGGATGGACAAAAAAGATGTGTAAACTTCATTGTTGGACGAAGAGACTATAATTTAGGAATTCGGGTAGAGGGTATTCAAGAGATTGGAGATGAATGAGCTCAATATATTACCCAAACTAGTGTAACTGACCATAAAGAAAATTCTGCAGGCACACGGGAGTAGTTGTTTATGGCAATGAATATTATTTTGGTGGTGGTATACAACATGCTCCTGTGGGTAGCACTCCATATGGGACTCCGTTGCAAGTTCTAGACCTTGGTGTGACACACCTTCCAGAGGATGTGTTTGAATCATATCTGCTGGAGATTAGCCCTCGCTACACTGCAGAAACATATAGTTTGCTGACCCATAACTGCAATAATTTCAGCAATGAAGTTGCTCAGTTTCTAGTGGGTGCGACCATCCCGGAATATATTTTAAACCTTCCAAATGAGGTCATGAGCAGCCCGATGGGTGCTCTCATGTGTAAGTTACCTTCCTCCCACATCTGTTTATTTTGAAGATCATGTTTCCAAAGAAATGTGGAATTAAGTTTCTGGAACTAGAGTAGATTAGTGATTTACAAAATTCTTGACATGGCACTCTTATTTAGAAACATTATTTAGAGAAACATTACTTAGAAGTTAGAACAAGGGTAACCCGTGACTGTTAATGCAGTGCCAATGATCCAACAGATGGAATCCACATTAAGAGCAGGTGCAGTTCCTCAAGCCCCCATGTTCAGACCAGCCGCAGCAGTTGCCCCCCCTTCTGCTTCCCTGTCAGAAAAAATAGTTGTAAGCAACAGTACTCTGTCTGAGGACACAAAAAAGCATAATGGCGTTGATTCTCGGGAGCAAAATGCCAGGAGTAATGGAGTTTTGCCTGCGTGTGCCAATCCTGCACCTGCCAATGTCACCGCAGATCCTTTGGGAGATGCTCGGAGCAAAATACAAGGTGAGATTGCAAAAGAATTTGATGCAATTATGGCAACTGGGACGATGCGTGCTAGTGAGGCTGCCACTTTAGCAACTAAGAAAGTGATGCAAAAATATGGACACGGTACCAATGCGGCACAAAGCTGATATTGCACATCTATAAACCATTGGTGAGAGACTTCCCCAATTGAAGGATTCCATTTTTATGTTACCTCCTCCTAGTTGAAATGTTTTCTTTCTTGGCGACTAATTGATTTGGTGACGATTTGAATTCTTGAAAAGTAAACACATTCTTGAACTGTGTTAGTGTTACCCTTTTTAAAGGTTCTTTTTGTGGGCGTTTTTCTTTCGCAATTCAAATCGACCCTTGAATGAGTGTTAGACATCTCGAGAAGCGGTAAGAGACATGGTATGGTCTTTGGTCCCTATCTGACTGCTCAGATCTCATGGAGCATAAGAGATAGCTTTTGATATTCTTTAAATGGGAACAATTCTGTAGGTGATTGGTGATGCCTAAACAAGGTTTGAATATGAAACTTATCTTGATATAAATTTCGACGGGTTAGCTTGGGATTCTAAAATTTATTGAAAAGTTAAAAAGTGGGAACTTTAAAGTTGATTTTTTTTTTTGAACAATTGAAAGTTGAAATTTGTTTAGAAAAACAGAACGATTGTGGAGGCCGTATATAGATATCCCAAAAAGTGTACATTTTTTTAGGACATTAAGGGGTTGTTTGTTTCAGCCTCTTAATGGTTCAGATGTCTGAATGATTTAGCACTTAATGGTTCAGACTGTTTGTTTCAACCTTTTAATGGTTCAGATGTCTGAATGGTTAAGAGATTTGCCTCTGAATAGTTAAGTATTATACAGAGTCTGAATGGTTAAGAGCTGTTATCTGAATTGATCAGACATTTGCCTCTGAATAGTTAAGCAATATACTAGCTCTTAATGGTTCAGACTTCTTACTGGTTCAGCACTTAATGATTCAGACCTCTTACTGGTTCAACACTTACCCATTCAGAAGTTGCCAAACAGCCCCTAACTCATTTAAGGAGGATCACAAAAAATGGGATAGGAGAGCACCCTTCTCCCGAAGTTACGGTGTCATTTTGCTGAGTAGCAATTGATTCGGGATGGAGGCTGAATATCACAATATTCCTAAATGAAAAGTTTTTATGTATATCTCATATACCAATCAAGAGTTTTGATATCTTTTTTTTTGTATCGTTGACAGCAACCCGTTATCTTCGATCACACCCATAATTGTCGACCACTTGTTGCCACAAAATATCTCTTATTCATGTCATTAACTATATCAGATATCACTTAATACCTTTATTTAAAAATTTAAATCACATATCATTTTTTTAATATTTTTTTGTGTTATTGACTCGAATCAAGATATTCAAATTTAACTCGCTTGAATTAAATTCAAACCCAAATTAAGTTGGGCCGAGTTTGAATATACTGAAACCAGAATCAAACCTGACTCATCATTCCTATATTGAAAAAGCTTATTGGTACATTTGGATGACCCAAATACGCATTAAGTATGAGTCATAATATAATCAGTCTACTTAATTAGTTTTTATTGGTACATTTTCTTATGGCTTCCTTCTATCGTGTTTCGCTCTTGGTCACAATTCGTAGGGTTGGATACGAGTAGTGGTATGTTATGAATTGTGAGTAGGAATTACATATAGAATTGTACAAAAACATTTTTAAAAAAAAAAAAACTAATTTATCTTGCCGTTGAACGGCTAGAGTTTAGAAAACATGGAGAGAGGGCATGGCGCTATGGTTGTGGCAGCAACTTTTTTTCGTGATAGCACCTAGGGTCGGGGGGCAGGGGCGTATTCCAGCGTTATAGTGGCACCATGCTAACACGCATGAAGCCCTACACATACTCTAAGGCTATGGCATAGAATTACGAGAATGACAAATAGTGAAAGAAATGAGGATGTAGAGGATTAGTTGGATAAAAATATAAGGACAATTAAAATTCGAAAAATTTAGAAATAAAAACAATTAGAACCCATCAAACAAATTTGTGATAAGGCCAGCAAAAACATCGTTTACGACATTACAATCTCAGATTCAACCATAAAGAGGAGAAATTTTACTTGGCTCGATTTAAAACTACTGCAACAAAATCTGATAACATTACCTATCGATGACCTTCTCTGGCCAAGGACAATAAGTTATACTCTGACCTTTGCTTTTTCTTCATGGAATACAAAGTATTTGGGACTTGGGTGAATGCCATTGGTCATCACGATAACTTCCTCGACATGTTCTTCAATCCACATCCTAAACACTTTAGTACGACAGTCCTCGATTCAGAATCGGGTTCGATGACAAATGTAACCCCTAAGAAATCTCTGATGTGCCTCAAAGTCTCCATCGCATAAGGCGAAAGTTTACCTACACGAACTTTGGAAACATCTTGCGGACACAAGGCACAAAGTAGAAACAACAGACCCTGCAGACACAAGTGCAACTCTATGATGATGACAAGTATTGTAGTTCCAATTCATTGTATTTTCAAAACAAGGTTACAAAAAAGAATGGCATCTGGAGTGCATATATACTTGCGTAAATTACGTGCGTAAGTGAAAAACATACCATAGTACTATCTGACAGCATAAAAGTACTTCCTCAAATTAATCGCCTCACCTTCCCTTTTAGTCCATCCTAAAATGATTCTCACTTTTTTACTTTCTAATAAAGGAATGTGTGATCTACAATCTTTTATCTTTCCTCTAATCAAATTCCAACCACTCCCTTTTTACTTTTCAACACTTTTCTTAAACTCCGTAAAGTCAAATTGGGACGATTAATTCGAAATGGGGAGAGTATACTTCATCCTTTCTTTATTAACTGTCCATTTCACGATTTGTGTCAGACTTTTGATGAGTCAACTAATTAATACTAATTTAATTGATGTCCCACTATTTTTGTCTCATACCATATGTGGTCATATTTATGTGGCTATTTTCACTTTATCTTACTTTTACTTTACTTTTTACAGCAACATCAACCACACAATTTTACTTTTCTTAATCTTTGTCTTACACCCTCATAACCCAAAAATAGTAGGATGAAGGGAGTAAATAAAAAATAACAAATTAAAATTTTAATATAAATAAAAAAGGCAAGAGGAAAAGTCATCGAGGTAAATACCTGGTGTGTGGAATCAACAATGCCTCCCTGTTCAATTTCATTCAGTAGCGCAGAAGCAATTTGCTCGCCAATATCCGCAGGAGGGGTTAAGCAATGGCTATCTTTATCATCACCAATGTCCATAGCATCTTCTTCTACTGCATAAGATACAGCAGTGTCAGCCGAAAAGAAGCAACCAGAAGTGGTTTCTGCAACAAGGGAAATTCCATAGCCAGGTGACCTGCAATTAACATAACATATCTGGATGAGATCAGCCAGGGCATTCAGGCAATTAGTGAATACTGATGTGTAGAAAAGTTAACATACTCTCCAGCTTGTGGGCCAGCCTTATGGTCAGTAAATATATGAATGTCAGCAAGCAGTTGATTCAATATGCCACGAGCTGCATGTATCATGGTATTTTCGAACTGCACAGACACTTTTGTAGAAAAAGAAACACCTCTTATTCTCTTTACCAACCCCCCATCAGTCCAGCTGACTGCCTGAAAAACAATTGAGGTCAGATCCATGAGAAGCAAGTGCACTAGAGTGAGTGACTTTCACCGTTTCAATTTTCTCATCGAAAAACAAAACTGATGCAACCTGAGAACACAAACTCACTTTTAAACTATCCTGAACAATCGGGACAGATAAAATTACTTCTCCACCCCCATTGGGAGCAACTCCTCTGCTCTCAACTTTCAGCCCGAGTCCTTCCGAAGGCACTCCAAACTGCTTCAAAATAGGCAAGGTAGCCGATCTAAAGGTATCAACAGATGGATCCTTAGGATCATTTGTGATCCCTGAAAGAGTAAATTTTCATTCAAATATATATGCACTACAAATGAAAAGAAAAATGAAATGCTAATTTCCAAAACACAGATGCCATAATAAGATTCATGCTTGAGAACAATTTATGCTTAGAATGTGAGAGATACTTGAAAACAAAGTAAGAACTGCAGAACCTTGAGCCTATTAGAGTATTAAACGTTAAGTACTACTTGAGAAATCCAGTTAACTCTTGTGCGGCGCATATTCAACTAACTAATTTAAAGTTAGGAATGAATGGCTCAGAATACGGTCAAGGCATTCTAGAAATTGTAAACTTGTAAATAGAAGTACTCTGTATTTTAATACTCCCTCCGCCCAATTGCCCAAATTAATTTTCCCAGTTTGATCAAGCATGGAGATTAAGAAAAGTTACAAATTTTATTAACTTTCCCAATATGCCCTTGAAGATGGTACCAATATCGTCATTGATCCAATTTTCGAAGCATCACTTTCAATAACTTCTCCATCGTTACATTATCATCAATGCAATCACCGCCACTCATAGTGCTTCACCTCCGGCAACTTATCCCCTTTCCATTTCGATGCCAGATCTTCAATACAAGAACCAGATCTTCATTGTTGATGCAAAGACCGAAAAGTTTGAGTTATTAAATTATTTTCAGAACCTCACTATTTCCTGTACTACATTGTTGTTTCACACATACCTTTACCGCTCATCTTTTTAATACTTTGGGTTAACTATTACGTCTTCCCGGGCAAAAGACTTTCAAAAACTTCTCAACCTTCATAGGTAGGGGTAATGTTCGCATACACCCCTCCCCATATCCCACTGGCCACCGATGAGACTTAATTTGGTTTCTGTTTTCATTGTTGTTAACTGTTTCAAATATCGGAAATAAGAGTATTAATTTGAAGCAATGAAAAACTGGGAATACTACTATGAATCAGAAGATAGGGTGGCTGGCAACTTTTCCCTATAAAAACTTTGTTAGAGTGTCATCCCACATCGGAAGTTCAAGAGCAAAATAATCGGTATATAAGCTCTTGAGTTGAAGTAACTAATCGATTGGATTCAATCTTTTAATGTGGTTCAACCCAAGTGTCTTATTACCCAATCCAGTTGTCCATACTCATCCTAAAAATTCTATCAAACTTAACTTCTAGAATTTCATGTTCTTTCTTTAGAACATCCATACAACCCACGATCAACTCATCAAATTAGAATATTAGATCATTTCCCACTATAATTGAACGACAAAGGGTCCCGCATGTCAATTCACACAATGTGTTAATCCATCCATATACTTTAGAAGATTCTCACATACATAATCAATGGATATTTGTGTGTGTGAAGGTGGGAATCGAAAAATTTCATAATTAAAATATTTAATTTATTATTTTAATTTGTAGTTTTTAAATTTTATAACTATCTATACTTGATTAAACCAGTTGAGTATCCTATCAAAGGAGAACGGGAATTTGATCCATCCTCCTTTTTTTCCTACATTAAGGTCCTGTTCTTTTGGGTTGGAAAAATTAACTTCCAACTTCTTCCAACTCTTCCCAGTTCCTTCCAACTCCTAGTTTTTTCCAACGACTTAAAAAAATATTTATATATGACAAATATACAATAACATTATATATCCAAATTTATAACTCACCACCTCAGACACTGACAAAAATAGATTCTTTTTTATACCCAGCTTTTTCCAACTCCTTCCAGTTTCTTCCAACATCCAACTCTAAAATTTCAACCCAAAAGAACAGGGCCTAATAGCCTATTATTTAGGGTTGTAAAAAAAGAATTGGATGTTGGAAGCATTAAATTGAAATGAGTTGGTAGAAACTAAAAGAAGTTGGAAGAAACCAGAAAGAGTTGGAAAAAATTAGAATGAGTTGGAAAAAAACTAAAAAGTGTTGGAAAATATTGGAAAAAAATAAAAAAGTAAATGAATTTTTTCAATGGAATTTCATGTTTTTAAATAGTTCATAAATTACTTCACTTTGACTATTTTATTTTTTCTCATGTCACTATCTTTGTGATTCACACGCATTATTATTTTGTCTTTCACTTTTTAATATATATAATACACTTTCTTTTACTTATTATATTACATGACACTAACCTATCTTCCAAAAATTATGGACAAAAGAACTATTTTTATTCATTTGAATTGACATAGGGAAAACACCAATATTTTAATTTAGAAAATAATAAAAAATGACCAAAAAAATGTGTAAAAATACAAATTAGGAGAACAAAGAATAGAACTACGTAAATAAATTGAGGTGTAACCATTTTAATATTTTATGATAACATTATAATGCTAATTAAAATTTATTTTTCTAAACGTACGAAATGTTTTTTGTATGACTTATGACATTACTTAAATTCTTCTTTTTGAAACAATTACTTAATTCTTTTTATTGTATTATATAAATTCATTAAATTCATTAGGATAACAAATATTATGAACATAATAATAGTAATAATAATAATAATAAGAACAATATGAAAAATACACCTAAATAATTTTTTAAAGTAATTGTTGGAAGAAACTGAAAGATGTTGGAAGAAAAAGAACTAGAAGATGTTGGAAGAAATTGGAAGAGATTGTTAGAAAGTGGAAGTAGTTGGAAGAAACTGAGAGTTAATTTTTACAACTCTAAAGAACAGGCTCTAAATCATTAATAAAACCGACGTTGCATACTTCTCAACATTGTCTGCTTCTTTGTGAATCTCACACTATTATATCTCTTTGATTTCGTCTTGCACTGCTCCATCTTTTCATAAATTCCTTTTTTGTGGCAAAATTTGTCCAAGCCTCTAAGGTAAACTAACTATTTATAAAATACTAGTTTATTTTTTTATTTCATAGTAAGGGAGAAGTTTCCTCAGTTGGTATTTTTGTCCATATTTGGCCTAGTGTTTCTTATTTATCAACACCATAAGACTACTTTGTTGCTAGAAAATCTCTAATTCTGCCTCGCTCCTTTCAGCTTCTAAACACCTCTATTAAAGAAATCCTAATTGCTTTATAGTCTATGATGAAATTATGAATCCAATTAAATTTTCCTAAATCAGAATAAGATTTAACAGAGGGGTTCACAAACATATTATTAGATATTTGATTTGCAACATTTGAAGCATCTGTAAGTCAAGTACTAGCCCAAAAACTCTGCATACTGGCCACTGTGAATTATTTTATTGAGCTTCTTATTCACTTTCTTTAATTCTACCACATGTGAATTATTGTATCTTTTTTCTTAAGGTGCTTCTGAGGTTTCTCTCATACTTGAAGAGCCACTATATTAAGTTTTGAGGGAGCAAAATAGATAGTTAGAGCTTCTTGTGTAACTTGTTGATGGGTAACTGGCCATTCATCCAGAGTAGTGTGTTTGTATTTGCGTGTGTATGGGATTGTTAGCTAATCCAATCACAATCTAATCTTGTGTGTTAACTGCTATATTTTGTTGTCTAGAAAGTAAAAGCATTTCTAATTCTCTATCCGTGTAGATTCATTTTGTTTTACTTCTACAATTGAACTACAAACATGGTCATTTTCACAACAAAATATTTCCTCCATCCCATATCTTTCTTCTTGTTTTCCTTTTTGGGTCGTCCCATATCTTTCTTCCCATTTCTTAATTTGGTAAATAAATTCGGTCAAAAAGACTAAATTAACCCCACTTTCTTCTACTTCCCACCCAACCCACGTCTCCCTCCCACCCCTGTTTGTTTTCTTATCCTTCTTCACACTCCCCCATGTTTCTTCTTCGTCTTCTTCAACCTATCTCTCCTTTCTTCCTTTTCTTTGTCATACCACACCCTTCCTCCTCTTATTCTTCTTCTTTGTTAGCCTATTTCTTTGCCTATTTCTTCTTCTTTGACAGACCAATTGCAAAGCTAATTGGCCAAGCTTTGGAAGATCTATGCAAGAAACTTTGGATTTCTTAATACTCTTTGCACGGCGACCAAGGGGCAGCAACAGAGAACTCTAGATTTGATGTTCAATTTTTGAGTACGAACCCTAGATTTGATTTTCAATTTATTTATCACCTTCTACTCCTCATCGATCGACAGTTCTCTTTTTTGATTTCTTTGTGGATTAACCCTAGATTTGATATTTTTTAATGTGATGGGATTTGATTTTGATATCATTTTATATTTCGAATTTTGATTTTAATTTCCCTCTCATGTGGGCCACACTAGATATGAGGTTGAAGATTGAAGATGTTGATGAAGAGGTATGGCATGGGTTTGAGGCGGAGGGCAATGACGGGGGGCAGGGGTTACAGAAGAAGAATAGGCAAATAAGTGAGGGTAGAATTGGAAAGTCAATGCATTTTACATTAAAAACCGTGCCAAGTCAAAACAAGAAAGATAATGGACAGAGGGAGTAATAGTATAGTATATTAGCCATTCCTAGGTCTGAATCTGATAAAACATTTGGTTTTGAGGAAATTTATCTCTATAGTATTATACATAGCGAACATACGCATCTTTGCACTTTCATACTTTGTAATCTTTAGATTATAATTCATAGTTATTATTTAGAATCTTAGATATCTCGCTATCCAGTGCACTACGTGTCAAAGACTAGCATTAAATTAGTATTTTGTATTTATGTGGAAGCATGTTGGTGTAGTGGCAAAGAAGCCACCCCCAAGCTTCTCCACATCCAGTGCATAGTTGTTACGGTGGCTAGGCGAGGCTGGGCGCTAGAGAACCTTCCAATTGCCTAGGCAATTAGGCACCCGCCTAGGCATCTGCTGGGCGAATGGGCTATGGCGACCATAATAATTTTATAGGTACTAATGTTAAAGCATATAGTATGAAATAATCAATTAAAATGAACATTGATACCAACTTTATGAAATAGAGTATTGTACTATATATATATATATATATATATATATATATATATATATATATATATATATATATATATATATATATATATATATAAGCCTACTATAATAAAGTGAGCTTTTAAAAGGCCTATTAAATTTTGGGTGTTATACTCTTGTGTAAAGGTCCAATAATCTTTTAATGAATCTAGCCAAGTTATTTGACCTAGTCTGCTAGTCTAAATGATAGAGAGATAGAAAGAGATAGTGGAGTCGTTGCAGATCTAGAAGCCGCTGCAAACCGCGACAAATAATCGGCGAGAAAGATAAGTCTTCTCTCTATCTCCTCCATCTTCTCACTCTATCTCGCGCTTTCGCTTGCGCTTCTAAAACGGAGAGCATCTCCGAGATGGAGACACAGTCACCCGTTTCCGTACAACACAGTCGCCCAGGGAAAAAAAGCTAGGCGACCAATTTGGCGTCCACAAAACCTCGCCCAGACGCCTAAGCGACGCCTAGATAACTATGATCCAGTGTTCAAGCCCCACCCTTGCATTAAAGATATTGAGATTATAAGATTGAATAGATACTAGACTGATACGTCTTGGAGCTATTTAAAAAATGTGTTTATTTTCTATTTATCTCTGCTTGCATTTAGCAAATTTTCACATATATTTTTGAAATGTAAAACATCAAATTAACAACCTGGTGAACACTTTGAACTAAACAACAATAAATTCAAACAATATTTCTATTACATTCTCAAACAACATTTCTATAGCATTTACATAGCATATAATTAATGGGTTTTGAGTAAATGTTTTCTTGTTGTAATGATACTTTTTTTAGCAAGGTCTTATTTTTTGAAAATAAGAGAGGAAAAATTGTGTAAAACAAGAGCTGTGCAGCATTTCACAGTAGAATGCAAATCAACAATACTCCCTATGTCTCCTCTCAATCAACCCTCGGTTATCATTCACTCTGTACCCTAGCCACATTCAAGTATTCAACACCCAATAGCAACAATAAAAAAGGGCAAATGCAAGAAATACCTTTAAGCCTAATACTCAGAGGCTTCTTTCCAAACAAGCCAAGAACAATCAAAGGTTCCATGAAATATCCAATTGAGCGACTCACTCCACAGTCATGAGTTAAATTCTTCCCACCCATCACAATCCCGGGTTTGTACCTCAACTTTGTCCCTGCCAACAATAACAATCTAACATTCAGAAAATCTATTATAAACCCTAACTTGACAAGAGCTAAGAAGATCTGAACAATATAACTTACCAGTTTCATTGATTTCAACCACGCAGTCATCACAGACCTTCTCTAGGAGGCGGAGGAATGATACTTCGTGGTGGCGGAGGCCAGGCCATGTGGCGTCAGAGCGTATGTCCTCAATGAGGATCGGAGTTGCAGAGAGGGTGGAGAGAAGCAGCCGTAGCCTCAGGTTCTGGCTCCCCTTGAACTTCATATATGATATCTTTCCCATTGTCTTCTACAGCACCTGTTCCCGGGGGCTGGGATTTAGGCTATGTTTGGTTGGAGGTAGGTAAAAGTTTTATTAGGTAGGTAATGGTACGTAAAGTAAGGTAATGAGTTAAAAAATTCTGTTTGGATGTTTATTAGGTAACGTGAGGTAGGGAAAGAATAAAATTACTAAAATATCCTTGTGGTTGTTTTTCTTTATTTGTTTAGGATGTATTTATATGAAATTACCTTTCACATTATATTCTTTTGTACGGACTTTTAGATGCGTACGTAAAATATATATACAAAATTATTTTTACAACAATTCTAAACATTTTTTTAATTTAATTTATTAGAATTTATTTAAATTTCAAATGTAAAATTTTAAAATTAAAGAAACACTCTTGGACGAAACTTCTAAGTAACATCATCTTATATAAATGCAATTGATCAAAATTTAGTTGTCATACATTTCATAATAAAAACATCAACTATATTGTTCTTCCACACATCAAAAAACATGGACATTGACTTCAAATGTAACATATGTTCACAAAAAACGACATATTTAGACACAAGTCTTATGATAAATAAAATAGTGATCAAATGTCTAATTTCTGTTTTAAAAAAATATAATTGAGAATGCAGCAATACAAGTTCAAGTGATCAAATGTCTAATTTCTTTTTAAAAAAATATATTCCAATGTGCATATAATTTATATATTCCATATATCAGGAATAACAATTACAGAGCTTATACACCAGAAATTTAGTTATATATGAAGTATGTATTATTTCGATTTCTATTGAGAACTAACAGTGGGATAAACTCCATTCACGATGAATATAATTAAGCTATCACCTCTAATGACTCTTTTGCAGCAATACAAGTTCAAGTGATCAAATGTCTAATTTCTTTTTTTAAAAACTATATTCAAATGTTCATATAATTTATATATTCCATATAGAAGCAAAAAGAAACAAAAACTGAAAAACAGAAACAAAAAACAGTGAAATAAAGGAAAACTGAAAAAAGGAAACAAAAAAAAAGAAAACTGAAAAAAAAGTGAAAGAAAGCTGGAAACTAAAAAAAAAATTGAAAATTGTAGTAAGCAGAGGAAATTAAAAACTGCAAATTGAAAATTGAAAAGAGTGTAAAATTGAAGTAGAGCAGAACGAAAAAAGTGAAAAAAAATCTGGAAATTGAAATAAAAAGTGAAAATTGAAGTGCAAAAAAAAGTGAGCAATGGCTATAGAAATTGAAGAGCATAGCAGAACAAAAATAAGCACGTAAAAAAATCTGAATTGAGCAGCGAAGGAGCAGATGGCGATCAAAATTGAAACAAAAAAAACTATGCAGCGATTATGGCGGAATTGAAGAGCAGAGCAAATTGGGAAAAAAAAGTGAAAATTGAACGGCGACCGGAATACCTGTCTATTGGCGATCGGAACCGGAAGAAGAAGGCTATGTGAAGATGGCGATTGGTTTCGTGCGATTGGGTGAGGGGCAGCGGCTTATTACAGATATTTTGCCAATTTGGGGTCACGGCTGAGCTAAGGTAGTAGGGATACTTATGGGATTTTATGTTGTACTCGTCCCGATCCCGAAACATCGGTTCGGTATGGTTCGAGATGGTTCGGTATCGGTTTCGGTATAAATCGAGATAAATATATACGTACCTAATTTACACCATAAAATGTAACAAAACCTTTTATTTTTGAAAATCCGAAAGTACATTTAACCAAAGAAAGATAAAAAGTTTAAAAATGAAAAAATAAAACGCAAGAAATACTTATGAAAGTTAGTTTATATTTCACAAACTAAATAGAATGAGTGATAACAAAGTATTATTTCAAATGTTTGTTAATATTATTATACTCATTTACAAAAATTAAAAAACTATTGTTAAAGTGCAACTTAAACATAATAAATTAAACTAAATTGTCTATATAAATTTTTTATTTAATGAAGAAATATAAAAAAGATTATTATTTTTATAATATATTAATATATATGTTCGGTTCGGAATTTCGGTATGGGAAGTAAGCTCGTACTGTTCCCAAATACCGGACCGACCGTTCAGTTCGGTACAGTTCGGTTACTTTGCGGTACTTTATCGGTTCGGTATTTTTCAGTTCGGTATTCTTGGTTTTTCGGGAAATATCGGGACCAGTTCGGTCCTTGCTCACTCCTAGCCCAGTCACATATCTTAATTTTTGTTACAATATTAAACCTACCTCCCTCTACCTCCCCTACCTCCAAACAAGCACAATGTTAGGGACAGTATGTATGGATGGAAGGAGGTAAAGTTTTATTAGGTACTAAATGGTAAGTAATTGAAGATAGGTAAAGTAAGGTAATAAGTTGAAAAATTGTGTTAGAATATTTATTAGGTCATGTGAGGTAGGTAAAACATTAAAATTACCTACATACCCTTGTTCTCCACGCATCAAAAAACAGCAAAAATACATACTCCCCCGTCCCCAATTTAATTACAAATTGAGGTTCACGAGTAGAAGTATCTCACTTTTTGAAATCATTTTATTTATAAATTGATATATTAATTAGAAAAAAAATTACATATTAAAAAACTACATCAAAAGTTCAACAAAACAAGAGGTGACAAGAATATTATATTTTATCAAATACTTAATGAAATTGCATAAACAAAAAAAAGTTATGGAGAAAGAGAAAAAAATTGTAATCAAATTAGGGATGGAGAAAAACAATTTAAAAAAATGGAATAAAATATTTGACAAAAAAGCAAAAAAAAGCAAAAAAACAAAAAAAAACAGCAAAAAATAATAGAAAAAAGGAACAAAAAACCGCAGAAATAGAAAAAAAATTAAACGGCAAAAAGAAACATGAAAAAAACAGTAGATTTCACTAATTGACAAAAAAAGCAGCAAAAAAACCCTACCTGAAATCCGCCGGAGGAAAGAAGATTCACGCCGGAGAGAATGGAGTCGCCTGTGTTAGAGTTGCGGCGCTGCGTCTGGGTCGTCGACGAAGATCGCGGATGGGAAACCTGCGGTTGGAGAGCTGCGGCAAGAAGAAGATCGAATGTACCTGTATACCACCCCTCCATAACCACTCACTTATTTTTTCTTTTTATTTACTTAATTTTTTAAAAATTTCTTGCCTATTTAAGTGGTAATGGAGGGGGTAGGGGACAAATGGGTACACCTTTGGTGTACCGGGGTACACCAAAGGTGTACCGGGTACACATTTACACCAAAGGTGTACCCCTAGCATTTTCCAAAAAAAAAATTGAAGGGAAACACTGAAAGCGGAAAGTTTAGAGTAGGTTTATCCTGGCGGTCTCAATTTTTTCAATGTTAAGACCCGTTTGGTATACAAATTGATGGAATTGGAATTGATTTGGAATTGAAATTCTACGAGATTCAATTCTATAGAATTGAATTCACCAATTCCATTTCACTTTTTGCACTATCAATTCCAAATCCACATAATTTTTGTGCTACCAAACACTAGAATTGGAATTGAAATTCTCAATTCCAATTCCATAGTTTGAATTCTGTGTACCAAACGGGGCCTTAAATTACTTTCCCTTCGCCTCCTATTTGCTATCTCAATTTTTTCCCAAACAAAGTTCATCTTGTCTTACTCTACCTCCACGGCCTATACCTCCCTCAATCCAAACATAGCCTTAAGGGGTGTATTTAATTACGATTGTAATGGATTTTTTTGTATTTTAAAAGTTGGTAGATATTCAATTGAGACTTTGAAAAATCTTTTAAAATATGAAGGTATTCAAGTGAGATTTTGAAAAAAACATTTGAAATGCAGAGGTATTAATTGAAACTTTGAAAAATCTTTCTAAATCAAATGGTATTAGAAAATTGATAGATTCTCAAGGACTGTTATAAAATATGAATTTTGAAGGATTTTTAATTTTAAGTATAAATAAAAATACCCATTAAGAATCCGACCAAAATCGTTGGGATTTTGCCAATTCCTTTCTCCTTTTACGCATGTTCTTCTCTTCTACCCTTCGCCTTTCCCTTCTTTGTCACCTCCTCTTTCCTCCATCATCGCCACCTCTGCAGCTTCGCCATCAATTATCTTCAATAGAAGTACACCTTCGCCCCCAAAGTAGATGTCGCTGATGACATCTCCTTCACGGATCTAGAGTGGAGAGATCCGTGAAGGAGATGGTGTTGCTCCAGCGTAGATGCAATCCACAATACTCCAATCTTGCTCCAAGTTAAATGAAGAGACTGTTAGCCTTGGTTTGCTAAGCCTCGTGTTTTGATGTTAACAAATAATATAAGAGTTTAACGTTTGTTTAAGTGTTTCAGGGACAACAAGAATCCATTAAGATTCGGTTATCAAGAATGAAGTCGAAACACTAAACTAGCGTAGCATATAGTTAGAAATTGATGTAAGGATATGATTTTATATACCTATATTCACAAGCTCAAAAACACTCACAAAAGTTTAAAACCCTTTTATAATCATTTTCAAACATCCAAAAGGTTTTAAACAAAATTGGAAATGATTTAGACAAAAATAAAAAAATTGTCAAAATGGTCATTAGGTACCTAGGTACCGTGAGGGGTACCGTAAGGGATACCGTGAGTGAATCTGAGAAGGTACCCCTACCGTCAGCCCGGGACCCCCTACCATCAGGACGAGACCCCCCTACCGGAAGGGGTGTCTTAAGAGGACAGATACCGCCAGAGAGTTTTGGCTTGAGAAGGTACCTAGCTACCGTATGGTACCTAACTACCGTGACAGAGTACCGTAACCATTGGAACATTATTCCTGATTGCTGATTTTTGAATTAAATCAACCCTAATCACCTTCCAACAGCTAATTAACATCTTCCACTATAAATATAGGCCTAATACTTCATATTTCAACAAGAAAACAAAGCTCCAAACATCCTCCATTTATATTCTAAGTGTGTTCACTCTTAAATTCATTATTTTCAATATTTTGGCTGTTTCAAGAACCTTAAATTCCTGATTTTTATACACACACTTTGAGCTTGTGTTTCTAGTTATATACTCTCATATTCACAGGTTTGTATTGTATTTTTGAGAGAGTATAATTTTTTTCTACACCAGCTAAGTTTTGTTCTTCATTTTTATATTCTAGTCGTTGTGTAGAACCTTTGTTTGTGTTCTTCAAACACATTTTCTTACGGTCGAGAATAGCCATTAAATTCTCATGTTTTAACGATTAAGGATATCCGTATAAATACTTGGGTAGAGGTTCAAGGATAGCATTTGAAATCCTTGGGAGAACGGAAGAAGATAGCCGTTAAATCTTCATTGTAAACGGTTCGAGATAGCCGTTGTGAAATCTCAAAGTGAATCCTATTGGCAAGGGTTGTTTGCCAAACTAGTGCGGTGCTTTGACGGAGTTTAAGAGACTGTGACTTAGTGGATTTGGAAATCCTTGAGGAGAAGCCTCGAGGTATTGGAGTAGGGGTTTCCCGAACCAGTATAAAATTGGTGTGTATTTTACTTTACGTTTTATTTATGCGTTTTATATATTGCTTCCGCATTTACCAACATCGTTTTTATCAAACTCTGAAAAGATTTTTAACGCCTTATTCACCCCCCTCTAAGGCGTGGGCACAACGACTAAACCGACTGACAGAGACAACTTAAAAAGAAGAATGAGGAAGAATCGAATCCCCTCTGTGAATCCCTTTGCGAATCTCCTTTGTGAACCCGCTATAGAAAGAGTCGAAGAGGCAGGAAGAGAGCATATCATGGAGACATGGACTTTTTAAATTACTCTCAAATTTATTAAAATCTATCTAGACTCATATGGAGTTTATTAAAATCTATCTTGATTCACATGGAATTAAAATAATATATGAATCGTACATAATCTATGGATTTTAAAAATTCTAAAAAAAAATCTTTTGAAATCTCAATCAAATACACCCCCCTTAGTTCTACACTGTTGTATGTTAACAGAAGCAGATCTAACGCTTGTTTCCCATGCGACGGTCGAACAGCAAATGGCGTAACTAAGGTTTAGAGTTCCTTCTGTAGTTCTATGGACCCTCTTTCCCCTTTTTCTAGTTGGTTTTTTAGGTGTGTGGGGCTACCCAACTTTGTACTCAAGTTGCATGTTAATTTATTTGGGGTATTAATAATGATTGACACCCAACCCAGCATCCCATTTACTCAAGCTCATCCCATATTCTTAACTTAATTAATCTTGCCTTAATTATTACCCTAATCTCTACTATATAGAGAGGTTGTGTGCTTATGTTGAACCGTGCAAAAAACTCCTCCTCCTCCTCTGTGTGAGTCTTCCGTGTGGTTTTTTCTTCCAATGTGTGTTCATCTTTGTTCTTCTCTATTTCTTTGTGAGTGGAGTGTGGCGAGGTGGGGTTGGGGTGTTGCTCCTTTTAGTATCATAGTAGTGCACAACTACGGACCCATTTTACGGGTGACCTGGGTCTAATCAGAATAAATAAATACACCTAACAGTGGTATCGGAGCCTCGTTCTTCCTTTGAATCTTTTTTTCATTAATCCCTTAGTGGGATAACTTTTGTGGTCAAGGATTGAGTACCATTTATTGGTACTTCTTTTCTGTCAGTGCCCCCTTTTATCATCATCATCACAAAAAAGGAGTCAGTGGGTCTGTTTTCGAAAAACAAGAGGATGATCCATGATGTTTTATCGTTAAGGGTAAATAAGTTTACCTTTCCCGCTGATTTCCTAGTTTTGGATATGGAAGAGGACAAGGAGAAGCCGCTTTTACTAGGGCGACCATTTCTTGCCACCACAAAGGCATTAATTAATGTTCATGATGGGGAGTTAACCTTGAAAGTGGGCAACGAAGACGTCACTTTCCAAATGATGAGTGTCACGAACCAAACTCCAGACCCGGCTAAGTTTTGCAATTTAGTAAAAATCATTAAAGATAAAGCGTCTGTTGATGATCTTTTAAACCTAGAAGCCGCTTTCCAAGAACCTATGTGTGAGGAAGTACACGAGGTAAGTGATCAACCTGTACCCACTAAGGAACCAAAATCCTTAAAACTCAAACCGTTATCGTCACACCTTGAGTATGCTTTTTTAGACAATGAGGGCCAATGTCTCGTTGTTATTGCTTCTGATTTAACACCCGACCAAAAAGAAAAATTACTGGTTGCTCTCCGTCAACACAAGCAAGCGATTGCTTGGAAACTGGAGTATATTCAAGGTATAAACCAGTTGAAGATGGGTTTAAACCAGTTGTCCAAGCACAACGAAGGTTAAACCCAAAGTTAATGGAGGTAGTGCGAAAGGAAGTTTATAGACTATTAGATGTTGTTATTATTTATCTTATCTCGGATAGTCAATGAGTGTCACTAATTCACGTTGTCCTGAAAAAAGGAGGGATGACCGTGACTAGGAATGACAAGGGTGAGTTAGTCCCTGGTAGAACTATGACCGACTAGCGAATGGTCATAGATTACAAGAAACTTAACGAAGCCACGAGGAAGGACCATTTTCCTATTCCTTTCATTGACCAACTTATAGAAAAATTGGTCGATCATGCTTATTATTGCTTTTTAGATGGAATGAGTGGATACTCCCAAATCCAAGTCAATTTAGAAGACTAAGAGAAAACCACATTCACTTGTACTTTTGGGATGTTTGCCTTTCAGCAAATGTCCTTTGGACTCTGTAATGCCCCTGCCACCTTTATGAGGTGTATGATAGCTATATTTGAAAAGTTTATTGGGAATTTTTTGGAAATCTTTATGGGTGATTTCTCTATCACAGGGAAGTCATTTGACAAGTGTTTAGGTAATCTCGAGAAAGTTCTAAAAAAGATGCGAGGAAACCCACTTAGCTCTTAGCCGGGAAAAATGCCAGTTTTTTGCTAAAAAGGGAATTGTGTTAGGCCACAAGGTCTCTTTTCTTGGGGTAGAAGTAGACCGAGCTAAAATTAAGGCTATTGAGAAGCTCCCACCACCCAACTCGGTTAAGGCCATTCGTAGTTTCTTAGGCCATGCAGGATTCTACCGTAGATTTATAAAGGACTTTGCTAAAATAGCAAAACCTCTGACTGCCCTACTAGAGAAAGGTGTAGAATTTGTTTTTAGCAATGAATGCCTACAAGCCTTCAACACCTTGAAGGAGAAGTTGATTACGGTCCAGTTTTTGCAGCCCGAGATTGGGCATTCCCTTTTAAGCTGAAATGTGATGCTAGTGACCTAGTAGTGGGGGCAATTCCTTGTCAAAGGAAAGATAAAATCTTTCATCCCATCTATTATGCCAGCAAAACCCTATTAGGAGCGCAACTTAACTACACAACCACCGAGAAAGAATTCCTGGCAGTTATATATGCACTAAAAAAGTTCAAGGCTTACATCATTCTTTCTCAGGTGATCGTTTACACCGACCATGCGACATTGTGATACTTGTTACAAAAGAATGATGCAAAGCCTCAGTTATTACGTTGGGTGTTATTATTGCAGGAATTTGATAGATTGTAAGGGGTCAGCCAACCAAGTTGCCAACCATCTATCACGCTTAGATGTGGAAATCGCAGAAAAGTTTGGCAACTGTGAGGTTAATGAATCCTTTCCCTTGAAAGGATTAATGTTGTCCAAGACAATGATCCATGGTACGCTGACATTGCCAACTATTTCACTGGGAAGGTCGAGCCTACATGGTTAACCCCGCACTTGAGCAAAAAGCTGAAGCAAGAAGCTCACTTTTATTTCTGGGATGATCAATACCTCTTTAGGATCTGTGTTGATCAAGTTATTAGACGTTGTGTTAACGAAGCTGAAGGACATGAAATCTTGGCAGCCTGTCATAATGGCCCAGTTGGGGGTCATTTTTCATGAGCAAGAATGGCAAGGAAGGTGTTGGATTCGGGGTTATTCTGGCCAACACTATTCAAGGATGCTAACCGTTATATTGATACCTGCGATCGCTCTCAAAGATCAGGAAACGTGTCCAAGAGGGATGAGATGCCATAGCACTACATGCTGCCATGTGAAGTGTTCGATGTATGGGGAATTGACTTTGTGGGACCATTTCCAAGTTCCTATGGCAACAAATATATTCTCGTTGCAATCGACTATGTCTCCGAATAGGCTGAAGCCCAAGCCTGCAAAAAGGACGATGGACGGACTGTAGTCTGGTTTTTGAAGAAGTTATTCTCTAGGTTTGGAGTTCCAAGGTTAACAATAAGTGACAAGGAAACCGAATCACCGTGACTCGACGGCCGGAGAGGTCACAGAGATGGTATTAAGAATCATCCAAATAGAGACTTTGATGAAAACACTTAATTATGAAAATCCTTGTTGTATTTATACAAATAAAATCCCTAAGATTGGTTCCCTGAAATTTAATAAAGCCCTTTTGCCATAATTTAATAAATAAAATCCTCTTAAGTAAGGTCCTTATTATGTTGGTAATTAAAGAACTTGTTATGTTATAAATAATGAACTTGGAGAGTAAATCCCTTAAAACGTACGAAGTACATGAAATAATGTGGTCGCGGAAGCAAAAACCAAAATAAGTACAGTTCATGAAGTAAAATATGACAAGTGTGGGTTCAAGCCTAAGTGATTTTATTTAACAATAATGAGGAAGTCATAGAAAAACCATATCCACCGTCCATTCATCTCCTCACTTTCATGCCCCTCCAAGATAGGCTCCAGGTTCATCAAGCCTACATGCGTATAACAAAACAACACTATATGCTTAGCATAAGTTGAGTGGTAAACTAGCTGTAGAAAACATAGTGATAAACTATATAGATACCCGCATATTCATACCTAAACCTAGTTACCATGTATGTACACAAGCCTCCAAATGAAACTCGTTAGACCCAAAGTCTCTTGGACGGGCCCGCTATAAGAGACTTAGTAGGCTTGACCCCTTTAGCGGTTATGCCATGATATGAATGATTCATATATCACGGATCTACGATGTGCGTGATGAAATGAATGCATACACAATCTTTGGGATGATCCAAGAATATATACATATCATCCAAGATAACAATCATATAGCAGGTAATTCGAATAGCATTGATATAGGAATCAAAAAGAGAATGACAGTATATACTACCGGTACCTGGAGGTTCACGGTACCTGGGTAACGTTACCACGGTACTGCCTAAGTGAGGTCGCTAGTGCATGCCACGGAGGGATACCGTAACTCTCTAGGAGCTCAGTTGGTTATAGCGGTACCTAATGTCTCACGGTACCAGGTACTAGAGGCACGGTAGCACCTACTGTGTCCACGGTATGCCATACCGCTATGGGTAGCGTGACACTAGCCAGTGCAGTACCGGGTTCTGTTTGGTCCATCTAACTACGTCCAACCTTTTTGAAGACTATAATGAACATTGAAGGTTACAAATATATCTATATATGTAGCACCTATTTATTTCAACGGATTTTTAGTTGATCTTTTACGAGTTTCATACCACATATCTTTATAACGAGAAAAACTACAATCATACGGATTCAACGTAGGTTATGCAAAATAATCCTATGAATGTAACTATATTGGATATAACCATGAATTCCAAAGCTAGAGGGGCAACGGACTCACCTCTAGAACGTGACAATGGATTAACGAAGACGATACGAACATCGCTACGAACGGAATCACGACTCCCGAATGATCAAACAGATCTCCTCCTCTTCTCTTTTTCTTCTTCTTTCTCTCTCGTCGGAGTACTCCCTCTTTGCCGCCGCCGCTACTTGTCCAAGTCCAAGGGGGAAGGGGATAGTTGTGAGTTGAGTGGTTGTGGTGGAGAAAACAAAGTGAGTGGCAAGAGAGACGGGGGGAGTGCATGAATTAAAGTGATGATGGAGATGATTTCTAGGTGAAAAAACGGGGAGAGGGCTGAATGAACCACATGGGAATTAGGGTGGAGTTTCCAAAGTTTCTCCGTAAGTAAAAGTTGACCTGAACGGTACGCGCTCCCCCCCAAACTGCTCTGAATGAAAAACCGTTTGTGTTTCTAGAATCAGATAGTCAAAACTAGTATTATGATGTGATCAAATAATTTTTCTCAAGATTTTATTTTTCCCAACTCCGGTCCGTATTAATAATTTATTCATTAAATTAATGAATTCTAATAGGTCGGGTTGCAAGTCGTTACAATTATCCACCCCTTAAGAAAAAATTCATCCTCGAAATTTACCTAATCATTGGTCGCTTAAGAGATGTGGATATGGGGAACATATAGATTCCTCGATTTCCCAAGTCTCCTCTTCTACGGGGTGACTTTTTCCAGAGTACTTTGACCAATGGGATCACTTTGCTCCTCAGCTGTCGGGTCTCGCGAGCTAAGGTCTCTATCGGCTCATCCGCATAGGTAAGATTTTCATCAAGGGTAACCGTGTCTGCTGGGAGTACATGAGATAGATCAGACTGGTACCTTCGAAGCATGGATACCTGGAACAGGTTATAGATTTTATTCAACTCAGGTGGTAACTCGAGCTTATAAGCTACGGGTCCCACATGCTCAATGATCATATATGGGCCTATGAACCTCGGGTTGAGTTTCCCCATCTTATCAAATCAGAGGACATTCTTCCAAGGGGAGACTTTCAGGAAGACACTATCTATGAGACTGTGACAGCTTAATAAATATCACGTTTCTTGATATCTGCATAGGACGGTCAAAAGCCACCTGAAATCAATCTTTAATCATACGAACCATTTCCTTGGTCTCTCGTACTAGATCAGGTCCTTCCAACTTCCTCTCACTCAACTCAGTCCAGTAAGTAGGAATTTGACACTGCCTACCGTACAAAGCCTCGTACGACGCCATACTGATATTGGCCTTATAGCTATTCTTATACACAAACTCTATGAGCGGTAGATAACGTTCGCAACCATCCCCAAAATCGATCACGCAAGCACGCATCATATCATCGAGGATCTGGGTCTTTGACTGACCATCCATCTGTGGTTGGAAAGGTTGTACTGAAATGAAGATAAGAGCCCCAAAGCTTTCTATAGGCTCTTCCAGAACTGAGATGTGAAACACGTGTCACGATATGAAATGACAGACGACATGACCCCATGTACCTGGATGATCTCGCAAATGTACAATTTTGCTAGTCGCTGTAATGAGAAGTCTTGTTGTATCAGGAGGGAGTGTGCACACTTAGTCAAAAGGTCCACAATGCCCCAGACTATGTTGTGCTTATGTGGCGATAATTTCAGCCCCTACTAGCATTATGATGTGATCAAATAATGTTTCTCAAGATTTTATTTTTCCCAACTCCGGTCCGTATTAATAATCTATTAATTACATTAATTAATTCTAATAGGCCGAGTTGCAGGGCGTTACGCGCATGCTTTAACCAACTTCTTTTGCCTGCACGCCAGCTCATCACATGGTCAGTAATTCTTAACATTCTTCTTATTTCGTTTCTCGGTCTACCTATAATTAAACAATTCATAAGCATACATATCTAACAATTAATGGCTTAGTGTCGGGTGTAAATACCTTTCGTTTTCTGTCATGCAACATACAAGATCTTAGAATCGATCCAGGATTTGAATCGGGACAAACAAACAGGAAAAAGGGTGGCTGGGGGTTTGACACATTACCTGTTTCGATACCCTTGTAAAACCAGGTGGTACCCCGGTACCGTCGGTCCGGTACCCCCAATTACCTCTAGAGAAAATTAGCTTGTGGCGGTAGTCGGGTACTGTTAGGCGGTACCTAGTTACTGTGTGACGTCGGGAAAACACAAAAATAGCAGAGTTCGATCCAATTCCAAACTATTTAATACGTATAACGTTTTTGGAGATTATTAACACACAAATCATAAAAACGAGAGTAAAAAAACATACCTAGCATTCCTCGATCAATCAATTCCAATAGATCATATATTTTTAATAAATCATAATTCAAATTATAATCAAATAGATCACATAATCAATCATACGAGATTACAAACGTGAATTTCAAACCTATACAAATAATCTAGCGTCAGATGTCCACGTAGTCACCTCGATTAATTGACAAATTAGCTAGACAAATCAAACAACAAACGAGAAGAACGGCAGCAACGGGGTCATTCTTCTTCCGACAATAATAGCGAAGGTGGCAGCAGACAGTGGTGTTGCAGCAGCAGTCAAGCAGTGGCGGCACGACAGTGATTGTGGCCTTCCTCCACGTCGGCTCTACTTTGTTCTTTCGTTCCCTGTCTGTGCCCCGACGTGTTGGGGTGGCTTGGGCCAAATTGTGGTTAGCTTCAGGGGTGTTGTGTGATCCGAAGATTTTGCCCAGGATGAAAGGTAGGTTCTATCGATCCGTAGTCAGACCTGCTATGTTATATGGGGCAGAGTGTTGGGCAGTTAAGAAGACTCATGTGTGTCGTCTGCATGCGGCGGAGATGCGGATGTTACGATGGATGTGTGGGAAAGACAAGGTTGGATAGAATTTCGAACGAAGTTATCCGACGTCAGGTAGGCATAGCGCCTTTGGAAGATAAGTTGCGGGAAGCGAGGTTGAGATGGTTTGGTCATGTGAGATGGCGGGATCCTGACGCCCCTGTACGGAGATGTGAGAGGATTACGGTTATCGGGGGAAGTAGGGGAAGGGGTACACCTATGAAGAATTGGAAGGAGGTGATTAGGTAGGATTTATGACTTCTCACCCTGATTGAGGATATGGCCTTAGATAGGAACCTTTGGAGAAATAAGATTAGAGTAGCTGGATAGGAGCTCGGTGCTGTAGAGGTTGTTTTGTAGTGTGTTGTGTTTGTTTGGAATCTTTTGCTATTGCTTGTACTTCTTGCTTTATGCGTGTTATACTGTGTTCCCTTCCATATTTTTGTGCAGGTGGAGCCGGGGGTCTCTTGGAAACAGCCTCCCTACTTCCGAGTAGGGGCAAGGTCTGCGTACACACACCCTCCCCAGACCCTACTGTAATGGGATTCACCTGGGTTGTTGTTGTTGTTGTGCCCCGACGTAGTTTCTTTCTTTTTTCTAAATATTGTGCGTGTGTTTATATGTAATATCAGTAGTGACACCGGAGTACGATCACACTTCGGTGCTACTGTCATTTTCGAGCACTTCTGGTGCTCCGTTCGTAAAAATTATGGTTCCTACCCCCTAACCCACTCCCTAAACCCCCCCACCCTACCCTCGCCCCTGCATCCCCACCCCGCCGTAAGCCCCCCACAAAATGTGTGGCTATTATGGAATATAATAGCCACACATTTTGTGGGGAGCTTACGGTGGGGTGGATGTGGGAGGTGCAGGGGCGAGGTTTAGGGGGTGGGTTAGAGGGAGTATGAACCATCAATTTTACGAACGGAGCATCGGAAGTGCTCTAAAATGACAGTGGCACCACTAGTGTCACTAAAAGTGGGTGTCACTAGAACCCCACCTATGTAATATACATATAGGGGAGGGTTTGGGGTCTCTTCGCGGGGAGGCATAGGAATCTTTAGTTTAGGATCACTATGCCAAAAACAGTATCAGACGACTGTTGATTAACTACTGTTTATGGAAACACAGTAGTTTAAAAAATCAGACTACTGTGAGTTTTTCTTGGCTACAGAACAATAGTCTAGCTACTATGCTTTAAAACTGTTTTTAAAGTTTCGAGAAACAGTAATCTATCACTAGTTGTCTGTGTCAGTTCAAAATACAGTTTTTGTTGCAACAGTTATCAATAACAAGTTAAGAATACTCTATTTAAACAGTAGTATGATGTTTTAGTCTAGAACTATTTTTAAACTTATTAGAAACAGTTATCTATTGCTATTTGTCTGTTTCATATGATTTTTTTGCCACCGTTGTTTCTAATGGAAATAAAAGACTCTTTTGTAACAGTTGTCTATGAATTAAGGGTAGAACTGTTTTTAAAGTTGTGAGAAACGGTAATCTTTTATTAGTCGTCCGTTTCACCTAAAAATACAGTTTTTGTTGCCACAGTTGTCAATAATTAGTTAAGACTACTATTTCTAAGCAGTAGTCTGGTTTTTTAGTTTATAACTGTTTTTAAAGTTATAAGAAATAGTATTATATTGTTAGTTGTATGTTTCATATGGTTTTGTTTTTCATAGTTGTTTATTATAAGAATAGAAGACTTCCTTGTAACAGTAATATATTTATATAGTGTAGAACTATTTTTAAAATTCATAAAAACCGTAATCTATTACAAGTTGTTAATAATAAATTAAAAATACTCTCTTTAAACAGTAGTTAGACTATTAATCCTAGAACTATTTTCAAAATTTTGAGAAATCGTAATGTATTACTAGTAGTGTGTGTCACACCGTTTTTTTCATGGTTATCTATAATAATTAAAGAGAACTATTTTTAAAACACTTGTGCATATTAAGCCTAGAACTATTTTAAAAGTTAGGAATATTCGTTTTAAATAGTAGTCTAGCTCTTAAGCCTAGAACTATTTTAAAGGTTCAGAGTAACGGTAATCTTTTTTACAATGAAAATGGATACGCTCTCTAACTTTACTTTCATAATTTCGGACAATATATGTACAACAATCAAATAAACATTGTTTCAAACAATTATATGGACATGAAAAAATAAACACTTCCATTGAAACGAAAGAAAAAGTATATAGACACACACACACACATTGATTTATTTATTTATTAAAGAAAATTTTATTAAAAATAAATGAGAAAGACGGTACAAAGGGAGGGGAGGGCCAAACCAAAGCCCCTCAAAGATTAAAAAAAGGCCTACATAATGTAAACAAGATAACAAAGATCTAGTTCTAAAATCCTAGAAACACCGAACAAGCTAGCCTATGCTAATTTGAAGAATCATACTCAAGAAAAAGTATATGGTTGCTCTATACAATCAGCAGGTACTCTCTTTGGTTTCTAACAATTCAATGACATTGAAGAAGGGTCAGTTGTGACTTGTGAGATTGTCTACCAGGAGCCAATCCTTGTAGACTAAAACTACAGCTATTCGTCATCCTTGCAGCCATATCCAGTGTGAATGATGATGATCTACAGTCAATGTCATCCACCTATATTTGCCACAAAATCATAAAGATAATCAGTCTAAGAGTTTTAGTAACACGTTTGATATTGAAGAACTATAAGAGCCTCTTTCGCAGTCGTTTACAGCTTATAAACTATTTTTTTCACTAAAAAATAACTTATTTAACTTCACTAGCTAAATTGCCTTATAATGGAAAAACTAGTGCATTATTCATTTGGAACATATGGCTTACCTTTATTAAAGGTTGACCGCACAAAATATTATGTTGCTTTGCATAAACTTGCTTAGGACAATTGCATAAGCATAAACAATATTCAAGTAACTTGGTCCTTGGGAAAATTGACTCATTAATTCATCATACCACTTTACCAAGCTTACCTATTTGTTTCTAACAAAATAATAACCTAGTAATCAAAATTTAATTTAAAAATTAGATCAGTCATATTGTGCAATGCCATTTCAAACGTTGTATGTGAATTAGAATTATCAACCTAAGTTGTTTATATATGATACCACCTCTAATTGCATATTCTCTATACAGGGTGTACACCTCAAGAACATACATCTTGCTGTTGTTATTGGGCCAAAACTTGAATTGAAATGTCCATTATTTACCTTTAGCATCTTGCATCGTTATGGGCATCCATTCAAATTATACCAAAACATGCCTACAAAGACAAATTACATTAAATCAAATGGCAATGATACACAATACAATGAACACTAACACAATACCCCTCCATTACACATCACAACTTTGATGATTGATTTAAGACTAAAGGTGCAACGTCTAGCAGATACGAAACACTGAGACAAAGTTCATACTTCTTACATAGTTTAGGGCCATTTAATTTGAATTGACATCATAGTTACAACAATGACACCACATGTCCAGCAACAAAATCAACTTATTGTTCGGACAAGCAAATAAATGAAGAACCATCAGGCATGATGCGTATTGAGGAACTAAATTAGCATCTAGTAAATAAATATAATGACAGAAACAGGACCAATGAAATAACAAAATGGCTTCTTTATATCATACCTAAATTTTAGACATGCATGTTATAAATCCTCAAAAATCAAATTGAGGTAAAAAAAATTAATTAAATAAATCCTCATAATTGAAGAATTAGAATATTTTCATTCATATAATTGAAGAATTTAGAGTATTTTCAAGAGATATGCAAAGAAATTCACATAATTTAACCATTAGAGTATTTTCAAGATAAAGTAAAACCTGTAAATTGGAGGTAGGAGAGATTGGGGTTGTGATGTTGGCTTCACACGGTGTTTGAGGCGGGTGTATGCGCCATCGTGGTACTCTATGGGGATCGAAAGAAACTGCCCGGTGTCGAGGTATCTCGATGGCGACGAAGAAGATAGGAGCGACGAGGATCGACTGCTCTGACTTAGGCATGAAGGTACGGCTAAGTGGCGAACTCTTTTCTTCGGTCCTTAATCGACGAGAAATAAGGTTTTTTAGAGGAGGGAAAAGAGAAATTAGGAAGAGGGAGAATGAAATTTAGGAGAGGGAAAATGAATTTAGGTAAAGGGAGAATGAAATTTAGGGGAGAGAAAATGAATTTAGGAAGAGGGAGGATGAAATTTAAGGGAGGGAAAATGAATTTAGAGAGAGGGAAATTACAATTGTAGAGATTTGGAGGTAAACTTTAATACTCCCTCCGTTCGAAAATATTCTTCCCACTTTTCTTTTGGGTCCGTCCAGAAATATTCTTCCCATTTCCTTTTTTAGTATACTTTTTAAGGATAAATATCAATAATATCCTTTTATTTTATCACAAATCTACTTTTTTAGTACTTTTTTAATAATAAAAGGAGATTTAAAAGTTTATAGTATGTACATTTTTGAAAATTTTGCATTTTTTTACTATTCCTTAATAAGCGTGCCAAGCCAACATGGGAAGAATATTTCTGGACGGATGAAGTAATATTAACTAAATTCTTATCTCATTCTTTTAAAGATTATATCTGGCAAATAAGAAATAACCTTCACAAATAAATTGATTTTTTTGAAGACTAGATCTGATCTTATAGGATTTGAATTTGATTTGATCCGATTAGATCTGTTTTGGTCTGATTCGATCTAATTAGATCCGATATGATGCATTTAAAGTTTATATCACAAAAATAAGACACAACCAACAAAAGTAAATTGTTTTTTAAATTAGATCTAATCTTATTGGATTTGAATTTGATTTGATCTATTTTGGTTTAGTTCGATCTAATTTGATTTGATCTAATGCATTTATAGATTAGATCAGACAAACAAGACTCGACCTATATAATTAAATTATTTTTTGAAAATTTGATCTGATCTTGATAGGTTTGAATTTGATTTGATTGATAGATTTGAATCTGATTTCATTAGAATTCCGATTTGATCTCATTAGTCCGATTAGTTATATTTAAAACTCTTTTAATTTGATCTAGTCTAATCTAATTAGATTCCGATTTTATCTTATCTTATCTGATAAGATCTTAAGTGAATAGATTTCCTTCAAGTTTTGATCTCATCTTATTGGATTTGAATTTGATTCGATTGGATCTATTTTGGTCTGATTCGGTCTAATTAGATCTAATCTAATGCATTTAAAGATTAGATTAGACAAATAGGACACAACCTATACAAGTGAATAAAGTTTCATATTGGATTGGAACTGTTTGAAGATTTGATGTGATATTATTGGATTTAAATTTCATTGGATTCAATTAAATCTATTTTGGTATAATTTGATCTAATAATTAGGTCCGATCTGATGCTTTTAACGATTATATTAGGCAAATAGGACACAAACTATATAAAAATTTAGATTTTCTTTGAAGATTTGATCTGATCTTATTAATTTTGATTTTAATTTGATCCGATTAGATCTATTTTTGTCTGATTTGATCTAATTAGGTATGATCCGATGCATTTAAAGATTAGATCAGGGAAATAGGGCACAACGTATATAAGTAAATAGATCTTCTTTGACGATTTGATCTGATCTTATTATATTCAAATTTGATTCGATTAGATTAGATCTATTTTGGTCTAATTCGATCTAATTAGGTCTGATGTAATGCGTTTAAAGATTAGATCAGGCATATAGGACATAACATATACAACTGAATAGATTTTCTTTGAATAATTTTTATCTGATCACATTGGATTTGAATTTAATTTGATTCAATTAAATCTGTTTTGGTATGATTCGATCTAATTAGGGTCGATCTGATGCATTTAAAGATTATATAAGGCAAATTTATCATACAAATTTGTAAATAAAATTATTTTAAAAAATGAAATATTTTTGGGAAACAAGCTACTGTACACAGCGAGATTTTGACATATGTTTTGAACCATGTTCCTTGTTGGTTTTTTCAAAATGTTTTGTGGATTATGGTCGTTCTTGAAGGTGCTCTTGACGTTGCTATTCAAATTTTAATTTAAAAAACTCTTTACTTTTGCTTTGAATTTACGATTGCTGGAGTTGTGGAGCTGCAAAATTTATTTTGGACTGTTTTAACTGTATTTTTGAAACTGTATTTTGCTGAGCCTTTTACTTGCTTGTGGAGATTTCCTCCTCCACAATTTTGATGTTTGAATGATACTTGTTTTGGAGGTCAACCCGTGCTGCTACAGTGGCTATTTTTGTTGTGCATTCGGGCTTGAAATGGCAGTGTTGGGGGTGCTGTTTGGGCTGATTTTGTATTGGAAGTTTGACTCTGTCATTGGGCATCGTGTGGGGTGGTTTTCACTGCTGTTTTTGTTGAAGCTGATTATGGTAAGATTAACATTTCACCCGCCTCTATTTGATGCATTACCTTGGAGGAATAAGTTGAACCTGGTTTTGAAATACTTTTGCTGAGCATATTGACTGAGTTTTTGTGAAACCTGTACCTTGGTGAGGGAATATATATGGGTGGACTTGATATCTGAAATCGTATAGTTTGAATTCGCAACTTGATTAGAATCTAAAGCTATAAAAATATTGGTGTTACTTATATTAATAACATTGGGTAACATTGGGTAGTGCTTGTATTGGAATATGGTACTATGTATAAAAGTGTATCATAATTGAAATGATCACGACTAGGCTTTACCTTAAATTTCTTGGATAGTCATCCATTATTTTCAGAATGATGTGCTTTAAATCTATTGGCAACTGATATTATTTGGCAAATCTGCAGCTGAATACAAGTACAACATGGTAAGGACAAGAGCTCTTCTAAGAAAATTGTGACATACAGGGTCATATCCAATCAGATCAGATCAGACTAGACCAGATCAGATCAGATCAGAACTACAAAAAATTACATCAGATCAGAAAAAATAAGTTAAACGGAACAGAGCCTTAGTCTTCATGATATACGAGCTTTGTGAATTAAAAAAAATCAATCTAACTATTTATAAAAAAGAGAACATGTTTGTATAATGCACTTATTTTTTGAATTTTTAAAATAACTCAAAGTAAAAAATGAACACTATTTATATTTTATATTAAAATTATATTGTATAATTTAAATCTAAATAAACATTATGAACTATAAACATCAAGAAATATATTTTAATTATAATAAACAGTACAAAATGTAGAAGTGTATATAAACAATGATATTAAAAATCAGATGAAAAAGGAAAAAAAATTCAAATTTAAGTACTTTTTTAACTAAAAATATTTAAATTAACATCGTATAAAGTATTTTATTTTCATTATATTTGATGAGATCGTTGAGCGAGTTGGACGGATAAATCCCAACCCAATCAATCGGTTGCATAGGCCGGGACCCGGTTAGAAGATTGACTTCAATAGTTCAACTACTACTGCTATAATCCACGTAGACACACACGCTCGTTCCACACTTCCACGTAACCATCGCCCCGCATTACAAGACCGCCGTTACGCTTCCCCGCTTCTTTAGCTGACGCCACTTTCCAAACCTGCTTTACGAACCAGGCTACGAACCGAACCCTGTCGTCGTCACTCAGACGTGGTTCCGATTCCCGAACCTGAGGCCCGTGCCCTTTTTCTGTGACAACCTGTCCCCGTCTCTATTTTTCGCCTTTCTTATCTCTCCTCCAAATCTTCTTCTCTTCATCTCTCTCTCTCTCAGATATGCCGATGAAGCTTCTGTAATCTCAATTTCAGCTTCACTGAGAATTTCAGACATTCTCTACTGTGACAAAAAGCTCTATCTATCTGCTGGAACGGTAAGGAATTGATTAAATTGTCGATAGCTTCATGCGCTTTTATGATTAAAAAGGGGTGAGATGAATTGATTTTGAAATTTCCATCACCGTTCGGATTCCGATACGAGATCAGATTTGCTTCGAGTAGGATATCCAATTCCGTTCGTTATCCGGCGTTTTTGTAGCTGAACTGAATTGGAACGGGTAAAACTGCGGAATTACCCCGTGTTTCAGTAGAGAGTGTTTTAATTATTGAAGATCTTAGTTCCGGCTCTAAATCCTATCGATTTTTGTTACTTTTGGTTTAGGTGATAGTTTTAATCATTGAAGATCTTGCTTTGCTTGGGCAATGCATCGTTTGACCTCTGAATTTGGTATATATTCGAGGCTTCTGCGATCAGAAACGGTGTGAATTACCTCCCTCTTCTCTCTTTAATTTATGTGTTTTGTTAATATTTTCTGATTTTTTCATATCTCGTTATCACAGGACTGAGGCTCTGCAGTGAGTAAAGTGTTGCTTTTACTGCTTAATTTTGGAATTGGACTGAAGCCATGGCTCAGAGTAATTGGGAAGCAGATAAGATGTATGCAGTGCTTGCTGCAGAACCACTTCCAATGTTACAGCATTTTATTTTATTTTTTGGGTTTGGGTTTGGGTTTGGGTTTGGGGGGGGGGGCTTTGGGGGTATTGGGATCCCAAAATGTGATTTTTCGCATAACTTGAACGCCTTCCGGAAAACTGGCAATCGAGTCTAAATGTTTGCCAAAGTAAGCCTTGCAGTATAATTGGTAATAATGTGCCTAAAGAAATCCAAAGAGAACTGTTTGGTTCTGATGCAAATACTCCGTAATTATTAAGAACAGCAGCTGGGTTCACTCAGCCAAAAACTAAAATAAGGAGAATCATACAGCACATTTATCCTTAAATGCAACAGGATTGTGTTTTAAACTTTAAAAATTTCTGATTGTTCAATGGCTCAACGCCCCATGTCATGCCAGGCTTGATGTTTACATTCATGATTACTTGTTGAAAAGAAAACTTCATAATTCTGCAAAAGCTTTCATGACGGAGGGGAAGGTAGCAACTGACCCTGTAGGTAATAAGTTTGACGACTATACTTGTCTTGATTTTGAACAATATTTATAGCTGTCGGATCTATCTCTTACTGCAATTTGCTTTATTCAATTTTTTATTTTTATTTCAATTCCTATATGGATGCAAAGCTTTTGGGCATTTATCCTTGTCCCCATTTTGCAGCTATTGATGCACCTGGTGGCTTTCTTTTTGAGTGGTGGTCTGTGTTTTGGGATATCTTTATAGCAAGGACAAATGAGAAACATTCAGAGGCAGCCGCTGCTTATATAGAGGTCTTGTGAACTTTCAAATTTTCTCCTTTTTGTCAAGGAAAAACACAAAGAAGCATAGATAGAATATAGATGCCTCCTCAGATATGATGTAAATTAACTGTAAAATTCTTTTCATCTGGTTGCTTTAATTGGAATAGACACAGCAAATGAAAGCAAGGGAACACCAACAACACCTCCAAATGCAGCAATTGCAATTAATGCAGCAGCGCAATGTCCAGTTACGAAGGGATACTAATCATCCGCATATGGGTAGTCCTATAAATGCCATCAATTCTGAAGGTATGGTGGGCCAGCCATCTGCCAGTGTAGTAGCTATGAAAATATTTGAAGAAAGATCGAAGAACCCCCATTCCATGGACTCAGAGTCATCATCAGCTCTAATGGATCCTAGTAGGATTGCCCTTTTGAAGTCAGCTACCAATCAAGGGTATGAATGATGCAACCTTTTTTCAATCTAATTTCTTCTGTCCTTTTATTTAAAATAAGGTTAGCATGGTTTTCAATTCATAGCTCCATTTTATTTTGTCATCTATTATAGACATGTCAGTATATGTTGAATTTATTCACACACACACACACACACATATCGCCTTTAGCATACAATCACCATACAGCAGTTAAGCACAACTAGCATACTTTGCATTCTCTTAGTGTTTGTCTATGTAATAATACTTTTGTGAACTTCATCAAACCAAATTGATAAAATCATTGTATCAGGTCTGGTTGAGTGGCCTGAAAGTTTCACCATCATTGGATCTGTGTTTATATTCAACCCATTGGCCTTTGAATTTCTTACTTTTATGACTTTTCATAGATCTAAAGATACGAGGCAAGGAGTTGATATAATGAGCCTGACATTCTATTCTACAACACATTTAACTTCAATTCCTTACTTTTTGAAGGAGGTGATTAGTTAGTGAGGATATGGCCTTAGATAGGAGCGTTTGGAGGGATAGGCTAAGGGAAGTTGTGCAGGTTCCTTGTGATAGGGGGTGTTGTTGTTGTGCGCTTGATATGCCTTTTATGCTTCGTGCTATTTGTTTCAATACTCTCTCTTCATAATTTTAGTTTATTTTTTGGGTGCTGGGTCTGTGTTGCCAGTGGCAGATGTAGTATATATTATTTGAGGGCCAATGCCCCCTACTAATTTTGTTGTTGATATATATATATATACATATACATACATATATACATATATACATATATACATACGTACATACATACATACATACATACATACATACATACATATACATACATACATACATACATACATACATACATAC